TTTTATTATATATAATCTGTTGTATTATTTAACCCTTTTATTCTCTTTCCTGCAATTTTCTTCAGATTTATTTTTTTTTCCTCACTAGGGCCTAATGATACCTTATATTACATCAAAGTGTATACGCTACTGAGGACTTCTAGGGATAGCTTACTGCGCATGCACTGGGATTGCCCAACCAGTGATGAGATATTGGACGGGTTTTTGCGCGCATGCGCGAGAAATGCAGGAACGTACGCAGCGTATGTATTTAGCGGCGCCACTAGATGGCTTTATTACATATTTTCTTACAATTATTTAAGTACCTTTCCCTTCCAACTGCTTCTCAAATATGAAAATATGTATATAATCTAATATTATCCAACCTATACATACATATTTCACAACCAAATTATAAAAATTTTGAAAAATAATGAGGGGTGATTAAGGTACCTCACTTTATTGAAACTTGTATTTTACTGAGACTAAAATTGCTGCGCATGCGCGAAAAAACCCGTCCAATATCCCATCACTGTGCCCAACACTGGTTCCAGTGCATGCGCAGTAAGCTATGCGTAGAAGTCCTCAGTAGCGTATACGCTTTGATGAAATATAATGTATCATTAGACCGTATTGAGGAAAAAAAATAAATCTCAAGAAAATTGCAGGAAAGAGAATAAAAGGGTTAAATAATACCACAGATTTAATATAATAAAAGTAATATTAAATTTATTTATGATTATTATTATTTTTTACGTTTGCAGCCGATTTGTTATATGAATACCAATATTTGTTGCAAGAGCAAAGGAAAAAGATACCGCTCGATTTTTATCGGATCTATGCATGTTAACAAAATAAAATCCATGTATTCCTTTGGTATTGTTTCTCTGATATTATAATTTTCACACGTATAAAATATAGTTATTCAAAGAGGTCCTTCCAAGTCGTTTTTTTAAATAATAAATTCATTTATGTTTTAAAAGTTATTGTGCTTTTGTGTTATTTTAAAAATAATAATCCATATTCCATCATATTATTATAGTTGTATAGTTTTATACAGTCATATATATTACTACTTATATTACTACGCATATTACTACTTTTATCATCATTATCCTTATTATTCCTATTATTATCAATATTATTACGCCTATTACGACTACTATCGTCGCTGGGACTGTAATTATCCTTACTACTCTTATTTTTATCAACATTCTTACGCATATTACTACTTTTATCATCTATTACGACTACTAT